CCTCCCTTCTCCCTCCTCCCTTCCCTTCCCTTCCTCTCCCTTCGCCTCCTTTCCCTTCCCCTCCTCAGGATCAGTTTCACTGCCTCAATCTCTCCTCTACCAAGCCACTCACTCCTACACAAAGCATCAGCCACAGCTACTCTAATGCCGCACGTCAGACCATGAACAGGAAATATAGTTCAGTGGCATTTTATTTTTACGAACTGGATCCATCAGCGCTGCCTGACTCTTTTCCCTCTGCACCGGTTTCTAGCTGACAGCTGGTACTTCCTGGTAGTGCGTTGTTTAGATTGTTTTCGTTGTTTACGGTAGAGTTCAAGTTCCTCGAAGTACTTAGCTCTCAGGAGAGCCGCTCTCTGCTCGTAAGGCTGCTTCTCCAGGTCTGTAGTCGCCGACCACATCTTCCCTGTGGCCTTGGCCACCTGTACCACTGACCAGTTCGGGTTCTCCCTCTTCAGCTGGGCATAATGGTCTTGGCAGAAGAGTAGAAAGGACGATGGGGGCCGTCTGGGTGCCTGGGGATCCCGCTTTCTCCGTTTCTTCCTCTTGCCGACATAATTCATCATTTCTTCCTGGTATCGGGCTTTGTCGAGTTTGGCCAGGGCTTCATATTTGGCCTTTTCATGCTTTGAGATGGATCTCCATTTTTCCGAACACTTTCTAGAGAACTCTTTAAAGCCAACGTAGGTATTTGGCTGCTGCTCCTTGAATTTATTTCTGTAATTCAGCAAAAAGTGGATGTAAGAAGAGACATTTGCCTTGGGCTTTAGCTGGATTTCTTTTCCCATGTTCATAAGTTCATCTTTTTTCTGGATTCAATAACTTGGACAGGAGAGACAGCTGTCCCCACACTCCAGGAGCAATCTAGAAGGTGCTCTACCTGCGGTGAATTTTTCTGTCTGCAAGAGCTGCAGTTGGGTCTCAGCCTTTTCAGTGGTGGTGGCATTGTTGAGTCAGAGGAGGGAAACTGTGACATCATCCACAAGCTGACCAATCCCAGCCAACACCTGTGAGCATTTGTGTACAGGTGCTCTTATTGGTTGGTTACTTGAGGGTCAATGTTTGCCTCTCATGAAAGATGATGGTTCATTCTTAGAAGGCTTTGAGCCACCTATTTCCCCTGGAAATCATTCTCCTTGGCTTCCTGGAAGCAGCAGGTTTTGCTGCACTTTGGGGGTTTAAAATCCCTAGGCTGTAGTGACAGGCCCTGGGGTCTGCCTTCCTCACTATACGATTGTCAGGATGCCTCATCATCCCTTCCAAATACAGGCTGAGAATAATGAACACGGGGAGGTGGATGGCTCCAGGGCTGTCATGATAAAATGTGAAGCCTTTCTGTTTACCTTGAACACTGGCAGCTCATGCCATACAAAGGGTGTAGTAGTAACTCTAAAAGTAATCAGGTATGACAGCTGTGACTCGGTTCCTGTCAGGACAAAGTTGTCTAATTTAAAAGCTGAGCGCTTGGGCTATGAGCCTGAGCTCTTCGTTTCTCTGAAGAAATGCAAGGGAGGAGGAGAACCTTGAGATTTTATTAATTAACACTGAGTCCATGAAAATGAGATGGAATTTGTAACACATCCAGAAGCCTCTCCACTCTCATGGGAGGGGTCCCCATTTCTTGGGTTTAGAGCAGAAAGCTGTAACAGCTCCACTCAAACTGTCTGGCTTCTGGCTTTTTGTAAAAGTAGTTGTACATATTCCACGAGTCTTTCAATTGGAGGGAAGAGAAAAGATGAAAAAGTGTCTTTCTTTTTTTTTTTTTTTTTGGCCTTTGGAAACTGCTAGGTACTTGCCTGTGTGACACTGGGTTTAATATAACTTAATGGTTGATGATAGCCCCAAATTTATAGGACTAGAAAACTGAGTTTCATTCACATAAAAAGTAACATGTTCAAGGTTGAACAGCCATTCACAGGTGGGAGTATGGGTTTTGACTGCTGATTGCTTGTGTCAAGCCTGTGCTTCACCCTGCCTGCACAGAACTGTTGTGGGGATCCTGAGGGTCCAGATGTGCGGTCTTGGCAGCTGAGCCAGAAAAGGAAACTTGCCTAAGGCTAGACCACATTTTGAATTTTTCCAGGTTCATTCCCAGGGTTCCAAGACTTCAACATTTATCTTCTATAAAAGGAAGATGGAAACTAATAAGAGTCTGTAATCCTAGATTCTTGCCCCAGCTCTGCTGCAAGGTGGCTGGCCTACCCAAGCCATCCCCTTCCTCCCTGTGAGCCTATGATCTCTCATAAATTGAGCATTCTGGATTGGCCAGGGAAGCCCCTCCAGGGGACAGCCACAGTTTTGTGGCTGGATTTCGGGGCCTGTAAGATATCAGATGCCAGTCAAGGAAGTCTGGGCTAGTAGGGGGACTGGCAAAGGAAGAGATTTCTCTGGGGACATTTATCAGCCTACGTAGCTTTTTCTCCCCCTGGCTTTTTCTCCCAAGGGACCAGAGCTTGACTCACACATTTGTTGGACATGAGCAGGGTTACATAGATGAATGGGACACAGATCCTTTCTAAGATCAAAAGATGGGACATGAGGAAGAACTTTAATGAAAGTCCACATATTAATCAGACTCTGCTCAGGCTCAGAGACACACACACACACACACACACACACACACACACACGCACACTTTAATGAAAATCCACATATTAATCAGACTCTGCTCAGTCTCAGACATACACACGCATACACGCACACACACACACACACACACACACACACACACACACACAGTAGCTTACCTGTGCCTCTGTTCATAACCTTCCCTCCCTCTAATGATGATAAGATCCAGGAAGATTAACCTGCGATAGTCATCAGTTAGCTAGCATATTTAAGAAGAAAAGGCAGTTGGCCGGGCGCGGTGGCTCAAGCCTGTAATCCCAGCACTTTGGGAGGCCGAGGCGGGTGGATCACGAGGTCAAGAGATCGAGACCATCCTG